TTTTTTTTTTTTTTTTTTTTGCCGAGACGTAGACTTGCTCTGTCTCCCAGGTTGGAGTGCAGTGGCGTGATCTCAGCTCACTGCAATCTCCACCTCCCATGTTCAAGTGATTCTTGTGCCTCAGCCTCCTGAGCAGCTGGGACTGCAGGTGCGTACCACCATGCCTGGCTAATTTTTATATTTTTTAGTAAAAACGAGGTTTTGCCATGTTGGCCAGGCTGGTTTCAAACTCCTCACCTCAGGTGATCGGCCTGCCTCGGCCTCCCAAAGTGCTGGGATTACAGGTGTGAGCCACTGCGCCTGGCTTAGAATCTTGATTAAAAGTATTTATCAAGATGATCTCATGCTAAAGAATAAGGAGGACAGTTTTAAGTATCTTGACATATTTTTCTAGCTGATCACACAGCTTTTCATGAAGATATGACCACTGTGCTTGGCTAATCAAGACCATGTTTGGTTCTATTCCTAGAGCAAAACCAAAACAAAATGTTGTTACCATTACTTCCCTTTCCCGTTCTTGTTTTTCGTGTTAGAGTAACTGTCCTTGTCTTGCATCAATCTACTTAACAACACCAGTGTTTAATGGAATACAACAGCCTGATGAATTTTCATTTTGCTTCTTTTGTTTGATTTCCTATCAGAATGCTAATGTTTGCCGTAATGTAGCCGGAATGTTTCTAGTTCCTGAATTAATTTTTTATTTATGCATTTACGTCTAGTCTAATTGTATTTGATTCTTTTACAGGAATTTTAAACAGCTATCAAGTAAAATGGAATTTATGACAATTAATGGAACAACATTAAGGAATCTGGAAATCCTACAGAATCAGGTCAGGCAACCACAAGGGCTAGTTTATTATAAATGGTTTTGGAAAAACTTCTGAGTAAGGCAACGGTCTGTTTTTAGAGATGCAGGTGAAAATGTAGTGTCTTTAGCTGACTGCACTATTAGTTGATAACTGTAGCACTTTTTGGAGAATGAACTGTACATAATATTTCTCTGGGGTTTTTTGGGGAAATGATGGAGCTGTCCTTTTTAATGACTGAGGGGCATGCTTATCCTGACAATTTCTGTAACGTCATCTCTATATCAGGTAGTTTTTTGGAAAGGCATTGTCACTGAAAATTAATATGAAGTGGATTTTTTTTTTTGTCTACTTAGTTATATTTTTTCTATATACCTTTAACTTTTTGTTGAAAAGTTTGCAGTCTTATTTCATTATTCAGGTTATAAAACAGGTTTCTGGGATATTCATTTTGACTGTAAGATTTATAACATTTCAGTTCACAAACTTTTTTTTTCTTCTTCTTGGAGACGGAGTCTCGCTCTGTTGGCCAGGCTGGATTAAGTGAAGGGACACCATATTGGCTCACTGCAACCTCTGCCTCCCAGGTTCAAGTGATTCTTCTGCCTCAGCCTACTGAGTAGCTGGGATTACAGGCACCCACCACTACGCCTGGCTAATTTTTGTATTTTTAGTAGAGACGGGGTTTCACTATGTTGGCCAGGCTGGTCTTGAACTCTTGACCTCAGGTGATCCACCTGCCTCGGCCTCCCAAAGTCCTAGGATTACAGGCGTGAGCCAACACACCTGGCCTCAGTTCACAAACTTTCATTGTTTATTTGTCCTTTGTTGATGAATTAGGAAGATAACAGGGAGATTAAAGTTATTGCTTTCATTTATTAAACTATCACTTGGGAAGATGAGATATTATATTATAAAATTAATGTTATCCTAACAAAATCATAAAGATAAAAAGCAACCCCACATCATTTGATTAAGTAGTGGAGAATCATCTGAACCATCTGAGTCAAAGGAGTTAAAATTCTTCAGAAATATTTATTACTATTGCAAATTAAAGTAAACACTGAATTTATTCCCCTGACTCCTGAATCTGCATATTATTAACTAGTGTCTCTCAATTTCTTCCTGTTCCAGTCTGTTCTAGTATTCTGAGTTCAGATGTATTTTTGTTCAGTAACATTTTTATCTTGTCATCATCCAAAAGCTGAAAATCTGTCCTGCAGGTCTCTCTCATCAACTCTGTAGCCATCTCCATGATAGGAAATAAGTAGTAGGAATAAAGAGACATTTCTTGACTGAAGGAGTGCTCACAGTCAGCCTGCAGCCAGCCGTGGCATTGTAAGCGTTCCTTGCTTCTGTGCATCTTCCCTGTTCAAATCCTACTACAACAGAGTCAGTTCTGAAATCAAATTCCTAAGGCAGAAATCATCTAGAATCAAAATACCCTTCAAAATTCCTTCCTTTATTGGGGCTTGCACCATTTTAGAAGCAGAAGCTGAGAATTAACATCTTCTGCTTGTCTTTGTACCTCAACTTCACCCCCACCCACCCCCAGCCTTTCCAAGGAGCAATGGAAAGAGGTACAGGGTAGGAGTTGGGTGTCAGCGAGAACAAGGATATAATAGGACACGTGTCTCTCGCACCTCTCTTGTCTGAGCCTGCTTCTCCAGGGGTGTCAAGGAATTGCCTTCCTCACGGGACCCTTTACCCCAGTCAGGCCAGTCAAGCTCTGGTCTCAGGAGCAGTGCTGCTCCTGATCTGGACTGCCCTCCTCAGCCTGTCCAGCCATCCTCAGAGGAACCTTTGTGACCTTGTACCTTCTCTGTGTTCTCTGCATTGAAATCCTGAGACCTGAGAGCTTATGTCACACCTTTTCTAGTTGATTGCTGGCAGGTGGCATTGTGTCCTAATTATGAGTCTTTTTCCAACTTGGCTATGAACACTCTGAGGGCAGGACCATGTCCTTGCTATGTTCAGCACATAGGAGGTACTCTGGAAGTAGCTACTTAGAGAGGAGAAGGAAAAAAGACAAGACAAAAAAACCCAACTCAAGTAGAAACAGCCATTTTAGGTCTCAAGATTTAAATGTCTCAGTGGGTTTTGTAATACTACTGTGAAACCTTGGTTAAAATTAATTATGTCTAGTTAATTGTGATTTTTTTTTGTAAGGACCCAAATTTTAAGTGGCAAAAACAAACGTTTCTAGGGATTTAGTAAAACAAACTAAAATAAAATCCTTCCTGGGTAAATAACTAGAGTGCAGTGCAGGTTCATATCTATCTCCAGCACCTTGTTCAGTGTTGTCGTGAGAGCATTGGTTTATAAAATGGTAACTGAAAAACCAAAGGAAAATTAAATCATCTTCACTATATTGTATTTCCCAAGGCAGGAAAGTGTGCAATTATATTTTAAAGATGCTTGAATAAGCATACATTTCAAAATAATCTTCTGAATAATTTATTCTTAGGTAACCAAAAACTACAAACGATCCCTTTTCTGTGTAAAATATCAGTCCTTCATTCTGTGTGTATGTATTCATCTGTCAAACATTAAATGAACACCTGTTATAAGCCACATTGTGGTAGGTATATATGACATTTAGAATCGGGGTATATGAAATAACCATTTGGCACAAATAATTGTCTAGTTAATAAAACTTGTTTTCTGGTCTTTCTTAGACTGATATGAAAACCAAAGGAAGTTTGCTGTGGGTTTTAGACCACACTAAAACTTCATTTGGGAGACGGAAGTTAAAGAAGTGGGTGACCCAGCCACTCCTTAAATTAAGGTAAAGGGAATCCTTTTTGGGGTGTTTAATCTGAAATTATAAAATTGTGAAGTCAAAGGCATCTCTTAAAACCAAGGTTACCATTATTTCTAAGAACACATTTTTAAATTGGGTAACATTTTGTTTTATAACTGAGCAATAGACTGGCTGTCTAGTGTTACAGGGATTTTTTTCCCCATTCTCGTGAATGAGCCTGCTTGCAGATTGGCAGACGTAGGGCATTGTCCAAGGATAGTGAGGAGAGATGCGTTTTGTGGAGGACTTTGAAGGCTAGGCTGAGGAGTTGATAGCCAGAGGGAGTTCATTCAGTGATTCTGAGCATGGGGCTGATATGATCAGGGCTGGGCTTATGTGCAGGAGGGGACTGAGTGGTAGTGGTGGTGGGGTCAAGTTAGCAAGTTCAGGGAGAGATGCCGAGAACCTGAGCTACAGCAGTAACAGCAAGGAGTCCAAAAGAGGGGTTAGGTATGAAATGCTTAGAAGAGTAAAGTGAGTAAACTTGGAGCTCCCTAAGGGAAGATACTTGAATCCAGTGCCTAACATACAGTGATTTCCAAGGTTGTCTGCATGTTGTCTGCATGTTGGAATCACCTGGGATGCATCACAAAATACTGATGCCTGTGTCCAGCCCCCATAGATTGTGATTTAACTGGTCTCCAGCATGACCAGGGAGTTGAGATTTAAATTTTACCCAGATGATTCTGATATGCAGATAAATGTGGAGATTCTGACCTAGAACAGTGCCTGGCACTTAGTAGTTTATGTTTATGTTATGTTTATTGAATGAAAACTGTTATTTATTGCACACTTTCTATTTACTGGTGTTTAATACTGAAAAATCACCTTCTGAGATAGGTCCTTGAAATGAGGAAACAGATTCAGAGAGCTTCACTAACTTGCTCAGTGTTTCACAGCTGATAGAGATAAGTATCAGATTTAAAACCAGCATTGACTCCAGAGACTTTAGCAGGAACAAGCCATTATCCTGAATAGTTACACCTCTGGCTAGACCAGAGTGAATGTGATGTGGTGGTGAAGAGAACTGCTATGTGTTGGCTCTGTCAGCTGAGTGAGTCACTCCCACTAATCCTCAGTGTTCTCACCTTTGACATGGTGGAACACCTCATCAGAGCATTGCTGTAAGGAATAAAGTTTTGAGCTCTTTATCTCACACCACACAGTACGTTAGGAGCTTTATGAGCATTGTCTCTTTTAAACTGCACAGCAGCCTCACTACACAGATGCTGTTATTAGCCCCATGTTACTCTGTGATTAATAAATAGTCACTATCTTCAAGAAAGGATTGCAGATGTTAATGTTGGTCGTAGGCTTGAAGACCCTGTTTCGGGTTTTGCTGCTGTTTTCTTCTTTTTCTTTTGCAAGTTGTTTTACTTACAATGTCAACTTTAAAAGGTCACTAAAGTTAACTGAACAATAATCTAGGCAGACATCACTTTACAAAAAAAGAGGGAAAGCTCAAAATGCCCCTTTCTATAGAGAACCCACAGTACAGTTTTATTCAGGGCAAAGAAAAAAGAAACTTGATCATACTATGAGAAACTCAGCCATAGGTTTGGAATCTGTACTCACACCACACATTCACTGAGGATAATATTCTGCTCACACGATTGATTTGCTGCTGTGTTTCTCTGCTCTTTGTCTGATATTAACAATTATAAACAGAGCAGGGCAGCTAGTATTTGGAATAATCCTTACAGTGTGATGGCATCAAGGACATTTCACTTCTGTTCATACCACTGGTTCTCTTGGTGTACGTGGGTTTCCTCTTCTTCAGTAAAGTCATTTTTGATATTGGAAGTCTTGCAAATCTTCTCAGGACTTTTCTCCTTGATCATATTGGCAACAGTCTTGCGTGTAACATCAAGCAAACCTTTGATGTCTAAGTAGTTTTCAGGCAGAAGAAGTACAGAAAGTATTCCTTGATCGACTTTCAGGAATTCTTGGTCCTAAGGAGGGATCTCCTCTGTTCGTTTTCTTTGTTCGCATCATCCTTGGGAGGAGGAGGTCCATTTTTGTGGTGGGTGTACCACCAAATGACCTTTTAAAAATATTGCTACATTGACATTTGGTAGAGGAGCTGCGTCATTATCTGCATCATCCATTCTCAAGTCTTCCAACATGGTCTTGATAGTCACAGATTGTTTGGCAATTTCCACATCAAATATCTCCCCATCAGAACTCAGCACCTTAATTGACGGCATGGTGTTTGAGCTTAAGGAGACCACTGGCCAGAGGCTTATGAGAGCAGGGCGGCGTCAGCAAAGAAGAGGAAGGCAGAGGACAAGGACACTCAAGACACTGTTTGGATGACGATAATTACCAAATCTTTTCAGATTTAGTGGGTCACTCCGATTTCTTAGCCGTAAAGACCTTAAGACATAGGAAACTGGTGAGATAAAGAAGAAATCCTGAAAATGGAAATATTTCCTTTAGTTCAGCATTCTAATGAAATAAGCAGACCTCGGAGAGCAAACGCAGTCAAGATGGCTTTCTGTGGACAACAGTGTAAGGGATGCAGCATTGTGGCTGCTGGAAAGGCTGCCTAAACATCTACTACAATTCTTACTGTGTTTTTGCTTGCTTGTTTCAGCAGAGACAGACTCACTAGCAGACTTTTCCATGTAAATTAAAATTTTTTATTTCCAATGTTAAATTTCCTTTCTTTTGTGTACCCAGGATTAATTTGAGATAAATCCACTAGACCATGTTGTCTGTTGTTAAGGGCCGAATCAAGTATCTCTGGGGATCCTACCTTCCCAGAAATGCAGAGAGAAAATATGCCAGGCATTCAACACTGATGTTTTCAAGTATGAACTTTTCACTGACCTAACATTGATGTTAGCCAAAAACAAACACATGAAACTTTTCTTTGCCCTTTTATTTTAGGTCATGGTTTTTAAACTTTTATCCTCCTAATCTATTAAAATCTATTTCAAAAGAATTCCAGTTTAATTTTATTGGCACTTGCAACTTATTCCAAACAAATACCTGGAGAGAATCTGCTGATTAGTCAGTGGCTCAGCTGTATAATTAGTCATGTACCACATGACAACATTTTGGTCCTTGGGGGAATTGCATATACAGAGGTGTTTTCTCTATTTAGAAATGTTTAGACGCACAAACACTTACCATTGTGTTACAGTAGCCTACAGTATTTAGTAGAGTAACATGCTGTCCAGGTTTTAGCCTAGGAGCACTATACTGTACCATATAGCCTAGGTGTGCAGTGGGCTATACTATCTAATTTTATGTAACTATATGCGCTGTAATGTCCATAGAATGACAAAATTGCCTAACGATGCATTTTCCAGAATGTATCCCCATCATTTAGTGAGGAGTGATGGTGGTGGTGTTTATACTAACGTAAGTGCTTTGCTGATCACATCAGTGGCTCATCCAGACTAATATTATGTCTCTGACATTGACAGCCAAAGGTAAGTTTAGGATCTGGTTTTCTTCTACAGTGAGATCATAGAACAAATAATAGATGACGAGGGAATTTAGCAAAATAATGCAGATCTCCCCAGGTTTTGCAACATCCCATTGTTTGTCAGTCATCCATGAATTCTCCTAAATCCCTTAAACTCCTCTTTCTGTTTTTGTCTTGTTCTGGCTCTTAAGGGCAAACACATAGTTCATAAGTCTAGGACCAGGCATTCAAGTTTCAGACTTTCCACTGCCATCACCTTTTATTCTATGAAATGGTCTCTTTGGTGCAAAATTTTACTAGTGACTTTTAGAAAGTAAAAATGGTTTTCACTTTATACTTATTGACTGACTCAGAGAGTTCACTTGATTATTGAGGCTAGATTTTACTGTACTGATATCACATTCACTTTTATAAATAGGTTATTTTTTCTTATGTGTTCTCACCTGTATTTTTTTTTTAAATTTATTTATTATTATACTTTAAGTTGTAGGGTACATGTGCATAACGTGCAGGTTTGTTACATATGTATACTTGTGCCATGTTGGTGTGCTGCACCCATCAACTCGTCATTTACATCAGGTATAACTCCCAATGCAATCCCTCCCCCCTCCCCCCTCCCCATGATAGGCCCCGGTGTGTGATGTTCCCCTTCCTGAGTCCAAGTGATCTCATTGTTCAGTTCCCACCTATGAGTGAGAACATGCGGTGTTTGGTTTTCAGTTCTTGTGATAGTTTGCTAAGAATGATGGTTTCCAGCTGCATCCATGTCCCTACAAAGGACACAAACTCATCCTTTTTTATGGCTGCATAGTATTCCATGGTGTATATGTGCCACATTTTCTTAATCCAATCTGTCACTGATGGACATTTGGGTTGATTCCAAGTCTTTGCTATTGTGAATAGTGCTGCAATAAACATACGTGTGCATGTGTCTTTATAGCAGCATAATTTATAATCCTTTGGGTATATACCCAGTAATGGGATGGCTGGGTCATATGGTACATCTAGTTCTAGATCCTTGAGGAATCGCCATACCGTTTTCCATAATGGTTGAACTAGTTTACAATCCCACTAACAGTGTAAAAGCGTTCCTATTTCTCCACATCCTCTCCAGCACCTGTTGTTTCCTGACTTTTTAATGATTGCCATTCTAACTGGTGTGAGATGGTATCTCATTGTGGTTTTGATTTGCATTTCTCTGATGGCCAGTGATGATGAGCATTTTTTCATGTGTCTGTTGGCTGTATGAATGTCTTCTTTTGAGAAATGTCTGTTCATATCCTTTGCCCACTTTTTGATGGGGTTGTTTGTTTTTTTCTTGTAAATTTGTTTGAGTTCTTTGTAGGTTCTGGATATTAGCCCTTTGTCAGATGAGTAGATTGCAAAAATTTTCTCCCATTCTGTAGGTTGCCTGTTCACTCTGATGGTAGTTTCTTTTGCTGTGCAGAAGCTCTTTAGTTTAATTAGATCCCATTTGTCAATTTTGGCTTTTGCTGCTGTTGCTTTTGGTGTTTTAGACATGAAGTCTTTGCCCATGCCTATGTCCTGA